CAGTTCAGGGGGCAGACTTGGCATGGAGAGCACTGTGTTCAGCTAGGGTTGCTGAAAGCCACACTCCTCAGTGTCACCAGTGACTTTTCTGTGGCAAGGACCAAGCACAGTGCGTGCCATGCCCTCCCTGCCACCAGCTTCAGAGTGTCCCAGCTTCTCCAGCCTGGCGCTGGGGGCTGGAGACAAGTCTCAGGCCCCAGCACGGGGCAGCATTTCCCTAAGTGCTGTTTGCTGAGGCAGGTGCTATTCCTTACATTATCGCCAGGACATTTAAATCTCACTGATTGGCATTGTTGTCTCAAAGACAGTGTTTTTCCTGCTGAGAAACTGCATTAGATCGGCGAAACAGAGCTCATTTCCATTCACTCAGCAGTCTCTCTAGAAATGACATGCAGTGCTTGAAACTGTTTATTTCCAAATTCAGGCCTCCTCCGCATCAGTCATCAGCTTCAATTACCAGTTTTCCGGAGCCGAGCCATCAGGCAGTCTGACACGAGGGTCCAACCTAATTCCCACCTTCTCCAAAGTCAAGAGCATAATGTGCAGATGAAAAGGTGGAAAATAGCCTGGACTTCATTAGCATGCAGAGCCCGGCTGTTCATTTGCTTGCTGCGAATGGAAGTTCTGACACTCGGCGCCTTCTGCAATATGAGAAAAGTCCTCTTCAGAGTATATGATGTCCTCACCAGCCAGCAAAGGTCATCAAAAAGGCAGGCGCTGACCTTGCTCCCTGCTCTTCATGACTAGTTTATTGATTCCAGGAACACCTCATTACATGCCGGATCAACATATTATTGCCATGTTCAGCGGCTGAATTGTTTACAAGTGTCTTTATAACCAGCAGAAAGCCTTCCGGATGATGCATGACTACACTCATTTGGATGTGACCTGCCAATTAGATGTTATCCGATCCGGTGCCGTGTGTCCTGATCCCTGACCGGGCCCGCTGCCCTGCATCAGCACGGGCCCATTTACTACTTCTTTCGAACGGCTCTTTGGCAAAGTGTCCATTAGCCTGTCAGTCTGTAAATATTTTATTTTTTTACCTCGGCAGCGGTGGAGGCGCCGCCGGCGCTCCCGCTCTGTCATTTGCTATGCATGAAGTTGATAATCAGCTGGGGGAGGCAAGGGGCTGTTTTATGGCAGCGTCTGATGGCCCACCCCATTTGCAGTCAGCGTGCGTGGCCCGCGCTCCCGCGCCGCGTGCCACCCCGCCACAGGGACCCGGCATATTTTATTCCGGCGCCGGCACCGCGAGACTGCTGATTTATCGGTGGGGGGAAGGCAGGATTGAACCCCCCCCGTGCTCAGCCTCCCCCTGCCCTGCCTCCAAAGGCCCCATAACTTACCACCCAGCAAATGCCTTCCCCCTTCTCCGTCTTTCCGGCGCTTTGTGTTCTCCCTCGTTAATCTATTGCGCCGCGTTATTTATCCCGGCCCGCAGCCTGGGGTATTTACACACAGAGACGCGAGAACTTCAAAAATAAATCACGGGGCACGACTACTATTTTAATCTCTCATTACAGACACTTCTGTGGCTCCATAAAGAAAAGAGTGGCGCGGCAGCTCGACCAGCCAGTCCGTAAAGAGAGATCTTCTGTGCCAAAAAGCGGTGCTGGGATCGTGGCTTCCGGGCACCAGAATCTGCGGTTCTGATTTTTCCACCTCAGCCTTTGGTGGTGGTAGGGTGGCTGGGATGCCAAAGGAAACTCCGTGCAGCCGTGGATGTGGCTGATGTGGCAGTGCCAGGATGTCCGTGGGGGCTGTGGCCTAGCTGGAATATGATAAAATGTTCACACCGTGGCACTCTCTGCCCAGAGCTCTGCAAACATTAATCAAGTTGCCCAGCGCCCCTTGGCAAGCGTCAGTGCTGAAATCCCTTTGGTGGGGTTAAATCCAGGGACCAGAAGGGCTAAAGGGCTCCAACGGTGAACCCACAGCCCCAAAAACACCACATCTCCAGTATGCTGCTCTCCAGAGCCAGCATTGCATCTCCCAAAATCCACCGTGCTAGGCCCTGGGCTGCCGAACCACAGGAATGTGACAGGAGGGAGGGATGCCTGTGCTGGGTGACAGAAAACAGCTGAGGGTTCAATTCCCTCCTTACAACATGAAGCACTGGGAACTGGGGGCTGGAAAGGGTGGATTTGAATTCCTTAAAACAGCACAATTAGCTTCTAAAATAAAAACTGGAATGTGTTTGTTTAATTAGAGCTGAAGCAAAATACACACTCAGGTCAAACCAGCCTCAGGCTGCAGAGACAGCACAGTGCATTGATCTGAATTTTGGAAAGGAGCAGAAAAAGCTTCCATTTCCTAGCAAATCCCTGGCTCTGGGCAGCTCTGGAGCTGCCGGTGTTGAATATTCAGAGGGCTGATTCCCCATGGTGAGCTCGGAGCCGGTGCTGCAGCCAGGTAACAGCGGGAATGGAGCCTGGGAGCTCCAAATCCCAAATGTGGGATCTCCACCGGGGCACAGGGATCTCCCTCCCCGGGGGAGGTACCAGGTCTGGCCTGTCCCTTGTCCCAGTGGAAGGTCTAGCCTTATTTTTGCTGTATTAAGCCTGCACTGTTTATCAAGCCCCAGACATCCCTCCAAATCTGGCACCTCATCCCTTCGCTTCTGTTAGTGTCCCTGTTACTGGATTTCTGTTCATGATGTAAATTCTCCTTTTAAATAGGAGAAAAAAATCAGCTCTTTATGACAGCAGGCATTAAAGTTGTATCACTATAGAGAAGTGCATTAACCTTTCCTTTAGCTTGGAGGACTTAATAATCTTTTAAAAATCAACTTTTTATTAATTTTGGAATGATGCTTAATGCCTGAGAGGAGTGAGGAGCAGTGGCATCACCAGTGGAGCTCTTTGCCACTCTAACTTAAGGTCAGGCTTGCGAGTGCTGCGGGAGCCACGGCCCATGCAGATATGGAATCATGGAATTGTGAAGGTTGGAAAAGCCCTCTAAAATCACTGAGTCCAAGCATTCCTCCAGCACTGCCAAGGCCACCACTAAACGGTGTCCCCAGGTGCCACACCCACACATCTTTTAAACCCCTCAGGGATGGGGATTCAGCCACTGCCCAGCTCCAGGGCAGGAGCAGCCAAGCTCTGCATCTTCCCACACAGCCATGGGGGTGAATTAAACTGGTGGTGCTTGGCCAGCCTGGAGCTGGACCTCTGCATCCATGTGGGTGAGGAGGAAGGAGCCACCTCAATTTTATTGCAAGATTTAGTTTCCCTGGCAGAAAATCAGGATGTCCTTCCTGGGCTGAAATTTGGATTTAGCAGGGCAACTGTCAGCCATTCTTCCTTGGAGATTGGGGCAAGGAGACAGCCAGGAGAACCCAGCCACTTTCCAGGGGGTTGTGTAGGGAAGGAAGCAGCTGGAGGGCTGTAAATGCTGCACCCAGCGAGAGCAGTTCATGGGGCCACAGACCTCACATGGATCCGCCTGGAGCCCGGAGCTGGGGGACGGAGCCCGGCCTCACGGCACATGTGAGCCTCCCCGTGTGGTGGGCACACACTGGGCTCTTAGGGTGGGCTCTTATTAATTACTACTAATAACTTATTTCACATATTGTTCTTGATGGGATTTGGTTGCAGAGGGCTGCTGATATTTTAGGGATACGAATCTCTGTCTGCACAGCCAAATCCCTGGGCCAGAGCTCCGAAGCTGCCGGCACAGCCCTCGCCGAGTGTTTCCAAACTGAATAGTCATTGGTTTGGCAGATAATTCAGAAACTATTTGTATGAGCTGTTTATCAAATTATTAACTGCACAGATGTTGTTTGGTTGAAGAGCAGCTGAACCTTCTCTCTGCCAGCCGGGGAGACAAAGGTCTGCAGGAATAATTGGAGATGTGCATGGAATATTAAATTAATTTACTGCTCTTAATTCTTATGCAAATCCTGACCTCTGATAGAGCCTATCAATTACCCTGCACACAGGGAAAAGAAAGGAGAACAGTTTCTTTCTTTTCTTTCCCCCCCTCTCCTTTTTTTCCTGTTGTTCTCCAGTTTGGGGTTTTGTTTCTTTGTTGTTGTTGGTTTTTTTTTCCTTTTGAAAGGGAACTTGGGAAAGGAAATATTTGTGGGAAGAAAAAAAAGCCATTTATTTGTGGTGCAAAGGGCCAGGATTATTTAATTGAATGTCTTGGTTGCAGCGATGTCCCCTGGGAGACAGGGTGCAGTTTTTAACATTGTGGGGTGCTCAGGGGAGGCCTGGGAATGTAGGCCAGAGCTGGAATAGCTCTACATGCTTCCCCAGGAGGGGCCCCATTCTGCCAGCACCGTGGTGGGCTGAAGTGGGAGAGGACTGGAGACCCAGGCTGATCCCAGCCGGGTTTTGGTGGGGCTGGGGGCAGGAAGGGGCCCCTGGCTCTGCTGGAATCCAGCGGGGGTTCGGGTGGGTTATCAGGGAGGGCTTCCTGCCCCGACAGCGGGGCTGATTCTGCCAGTAATTACCAGGGAAGAAAAAAGGGAATTTGTTGTGAGATCCCAGGTAAAATGAAGCAGGATTTAATTGGTCCTCGTTAAACAGAGCTGGGTTTCCAATATGGAGAAGGGCCTCGTCCGGGCAGTGTTTAATTGGGGCTGTGTGCGCGCTGCTCAGCCGGGGCTGAAAGGCAGACGCGGGGCCCTGTTCTTTCATCCCATTTTCTAATAAGGATAAATAAACAGGATGAATAATGCCATCAGTCTCTCCCTCGACCCCTGTGAGACCCCAGCAATGCAGCGCTGTTCACCCCAGAGCTGCTGCTCCCTGGGATCCATGAATCCAATGCAAGCAGGATCCCTCGGCACGGAGCTCTGTTAGCAGAACCCCCAGATCCAGCTACGGAGCACTTTGGGAATTCTTTGGTTAGTGGCTGTCAGAGGGGAGCCTGAGGAGGGGATGGGGCTCAGGGGGCAGGAGGAAAAAGGAGGGAGAAAAGAATGGAAAATAAAATTATGTCTTTCCCTTCTATTTTTCCTTTTTTATTTTTTTTTCCCCCCGTAAATCCTGGGAAGCGCTGGGAGACTGCACTCCCCCTCCCACGCCGCCCACTCGGGTAATTTCATTTATCCCGCAAATCTAATTAGCAATCCGTGGCTGACATTAATACAGATCTAATGAGGCCGGCGATGACCAGATTATCAGGCGAGCGCTGACAGAGCCTTAAAGGCACATCGAGCCCTGCAGTCAGTGGGACCCGGCAGGGGAAAAACTGCTTTAAACGGGGAGAAGAAAAAGAAGAAAAAAAAAAAAAAAGGAAAGGAGGAAAGAAAGAAAAAAAAATAGATGAGGGAGGGGGAGAAAAACATGAGGAAAAGCGGTGCGGGTAGGGCTTGGCTGCTTAGCTTATTAAGGGAGCTGGAGCTTTGCTTTTGGACGCAGTTTATCCACCAGCATCGGGCCTCTGTCCCTGCTTCTCCCGAATTACCGTTCTGCAGAGGAGAAAAAGGAGGGGGGGAAATAAGGGGAAAAAAAAAATAAGAAGAAGCTGGAGCCCAAGGAGTCGCTGTGCAATTTATTCCAAGGGGTGGCTGTTGAGAAGGCGGCAATTTGCGGCGGCCGGGGGTTATTTAGTGCGATATGAAATCAAATGATCCTATTGCTCAAATAACAGTGTCTGGGAGGAGAAGCGAGCGCGCTCCAAAGGTAATTGTCTCCAGATGATATTCCTATTATCCCCCAATCCCGGCCTAAACGCTGCCAGCGCCGGACTGGAATCGATACGGGGGGAGGACCGGGGGGATCCCGGGGCCGGGGGGAGGCATCCCCGGCACTGACCCCCCTCGGGAAGGGCGGCAGGGCTTCGGGAAGACCCTAAATTCCCTGTCCGTGCCTCGCCGGGAGCGGCAACACCGGCGGGGGAGCCGAGCCCGGAGCGCAGGTAAGGGACCTGCGGGGGGACGGGGAGCGGGAACGCGGCCCCTGCGTGCCCCGGCGGGCAGCCGCTCTCCGAGCGGACCCTTCTGCATCGCTTCAGCCCAGCCCGGGCTGTCGGGTCCGGTGCGACCCCCGCGGCCCTGGTCCGGCCCCGCCGCGCTCGGGCACCGCTGCCTGCGGGCACTGCCGCCTGCGGTCGGTCCCTTTGCCCGGAGCCGCTGGAAGCGCAGCCAGACCGGGGGCGCTTTCACTCGGGATCCCCGGGTAGCGGATGGAGCGGCGGCCGCCGCTCTCCGCGGCGCTGCCCGATGGTAAAATCGCCGGAATTCAATGGCTTGAGGGAAACGGCGGGGGAAAATCCAAGGGGACGGAAGGCGGTGAGAGGGAGAAGGGAGCGAAGCAGCGGCGCCTACCTGGGCGGGGGTCCCGGGGCCGGGCTGGCTCCGTGGCCGCTGCGGCAGCGGGGACCGAACGCTCCGGGTGCCGCTCCCCAAATTCCATCGGGGCCACCGTGGGGTGGCCGGGGTTCCGCCCGGAGCTGCGGGCACTGGGTCGGGGCTTTTCCCCTTTCCGCCTTTCTTTGTCAGCCTTTCGCCCGGACGGGCAGCGCGGCCCCGGCGCTTCGAGAACAAATGCGCTCCTCCTGGATAAAAAAAAAATAATGCGAGTATTGAGGGAGCGAGGCTCCGGGCTGGGGCGCTCAGGAGTGTCCCGGCTGGGGCAGCTCTGTGCTGCCGGGGGCCAGGGTTTGCCCTGGACCCGTACCAGCGGGAGGTGGCTGTGCTGAACTAGCGGGGACACTGCGGGGAGCAGCAGGAGGAGGATGCTCGGGGTCAGGCGCCTCTCTCGGGTCAGGTCCTGATGAGAACAGGGCACAGGGCACCCCCGGGCCGCCAGGAGAGCCTGGTGTGGTTTGTGTGTCTGCAAACGGGCAAAGCATTTGGAACCTGAAGCCTGGGAGTGAGCCCCAGCCTCTGCCCACCTGTGTGTCCACCCCATGCTGCCTCGCAGGTACGTTAGAAACGCGTTTTTGAGCACTGTCAAAATGCGCTGTTGGAGGATTTTTCCATCTCTGCTCAAGCCTTTTTGTCAGCTTCAGCCTCAGGTTCCTATTTCTGTTTGGCATGTTCTGAATGGAGTGCAGGGCCCAGGGGTGCTGAGCTCCAAGCAGACACAGCTTAATTAATTGAATAGTCCCAAGCTTGTTCTCCTGCTTTTTACAAACAAATGAACAGTTGATATGTGTGGATCCTTTCACTCACCACCAGAACAATCCTCTGCACAGGACAGGGGGAAAATGCCTAATCAGTCACAGCAAACCAGCATAATGGTTTGGGGTGGGAAGTGGGAAATACCATGTTCACTCAAACCTGGATTTCACAGCACTGGGGTGAGGCAGGGTGCAGGACTCACCCAGGTGAGACCTGGGCTGTGAGACCTGAGGAAGCACAGGCAGTGCTCCCAGCACTCCCGCTCCCAGGCACTCAGCTCCAGACCTCTGGCAGAAGTGAGCCTGGAACAGAGGCAGCAGCCAAGCCGTGCCCAGGCAGGAGCTTGGGGTTCCCTATGGTGTGAGCCCGGAGCTCAACGCTTGATCTCCTCCTGCATGGCCCTTTTGCTGATCCGCTCGCTTTTATTAACACCCGCAAGTGTTCCTGCTGAGACACAGACGTGGTGGGCAGTGTTTGAATGCTGGGCTGTGAGGAGGCCAGGGATCCCCCACGGACCCCGTGTTTGTCGGTGTGTCTGTCCCAAGAGCCGTGCCCCGCTCCCCGTGCCACCAGATCCTGGCCCCACAAACGAGTTCCTGGCCCCACAAACCACACGGCTCGCCCAAGTGCCTCCCTTTGTTTCAAACTCTTGGAGCCTGGAGCACTTGTTGAACCTGAGGATGAGTGCATCAAAGTGGCTGACAATTAGGAAATAAACAAATATCATTTGAGGCGGTTTTGGGCGGAATCCAGTCATACATAGATGGGCTCGTTGCTGTTGTTATCATATTGAATATTCCTCATAGTTGGGATATTTGTGCTGTACAGCAGCGTCCCTGGCATGGCAAACGTTGCATTATCTCGCTGTGCAAAGGCTTCATTAATCAAACCAGACAATGGGCCAGACACATCCCTTTGAGCCTGGAGCTGGGATCCTCCAGGCTTTTCACCTTGTCCAACGCTTCGTCCCTGTCAATGCAGGCAGCAGCTCTGCAAAACCGATGGCTCTGAACTGTGGGACTGACAGTAAAATGTCTAATTCAGTTAAAAGAATTCCCCAGTTATTTTATGTTCTCCCTTTAATTTTTCATGGCGTGTAGAAGCTAAACTTTTTCAGTCTTTCCGTCTGTACATGAGATCAATCCAATCATTTTTTAAAACACTAATGAAAGAGCCTGATAGATCTGTGTCCTTTAAAGCAGCAGCAGCAGTGGCAAGCACTGAGATGGAGCAGGATGGAGTGGCCTGGCCAAGCCGTGGCCCCGCTGGCAGGAGCTGCAGAGTGGACAGCAGAGGGAACAGCTTGGCCATGAAGGTGCTGCTCTCCTGAAAGAGGATCCTGGCAGAAACATGGCTTGGTGCAGAGGACGGCGCGACGAAAGCGAGGTAGGACTTTATGTGCTGGGAACAGGTGTGGGTGCAGTGTCTCTTTTTCCTCACTGCAGAGTCCCCTTTTCCTCACTGCAGAGTCCCCTTTTCCTCCCCGAGCACTACTGCTCCGGGCGCAGAGCTGGCAGCAGGACAGTCGGGCACAGGGAGTCCTGAGAGCCCCCAGAGGGATGGTCTCCATCCCACATCTGTGAGGAGGGGAGCTCGTGGTGCCTGTGGCAGGCTTTGCCTTGTGCTGGGTTCTGTCTCCTCGGGTCAGGCTGCAGCTGAGCGGGGCCCTGGCCCCCCCAGCCATGGGGGGCACTCGTGGCACTGAGCTTGGCTGTGTGTTGTGAGCCATTTCTGCCGCTTGCAGTCTGGTCACTGCAGGCTCCAAAATGAGCCAAAACACCCTCTCCTGAACACAAACACGCCAGAGCTGGTTCAGCTTGGGGAACAGAAGTTGAAGGAGCCGTGGCACAGGGCGCCCACGAGTGTGAGGTGCAGATGCTTTCAGGGAAGTTGAGAGTTGAGCCCTTTGGCTGTGAGTGGTCGAGTTCAAATTCAGCCTCTGGGCTCACGTCTCAGAAAGCCTGAATTCAGTTCTCATTTTTCCAGGGACAGGGAAACTCAACTCTGTCAATCTCCTCTTTCCTCTTCAGAGAGCAGCAGACACTTGAACGGAGACTCCTTGTGTTTACAGCCTGGTCACACGAGTGACTGAGACCCGAAATCTCCCTGACATACTCTCTGGATGCTTGGCCTTGGAACAGCCTCATTTGTGCCACACCTGCTCCCTTCTGCTTGTGGAGCCTTCTATGCTGCACAGGACACTGGAAAAGCACTTGGAGATGGCTGGAGAAGGAAGGGGGCTTCCTGGAAAACAGTCTCTAAACCAGCCCTTCCCGGTGCCATGACTTTTCTGGGGCTCATTAATATCAGTGGTATGTGCTTATATCTCAATTCTCCAGGATTAATTCAAAATCCACGGACAGTGACATGCCATGGGTCTTTTCAGTTATGTCACTCAGCTTTGGCTAAGGCCCTCACATTCGTAATAAACATGACATGCTTTTAACTGCTGCTGTCTCCAGGTTTTTGTGTACTCAGCTGTTGTGTTCTGCGTTCCAGGTTCCTGCTGGAGGAACTCTGTCACCTTCCCCGAGGCAGCAGATCTGAGGCCAGACGTGGTGTGCACTGCTTGAGCATCAGACATGAGTAATAACAAGTTTCAAGGAACTGTACCACTTAATAAAAGCATTTTATTACATTTAAATGTATTAAAATGTGAACATTAAATTCAATGCGCTAATTACTGTTTCCAGGCACTGCCACTGACAGGAAATGGATCCTCACAATTGCTCTGCTGAGATCGCTCACTGCTGTTACTGCTCTTTGGTTCCTGGTGTGTTATTAGTGCTCTGCATTTGGGACTTGAGTCATTAACAAAAAGGACTCGTATTGGGCATTATGTAAATGCTATATGTTTTCACACAGCTACCGGGGCCTGTGTTATATGTCTCATTGACAAAAAGAAAAGCAAATGCATTCAGCTGTGCCCTGGCTTGTGGGTGAGGGATCCCAGGGGTCACCCAGGCACAGAGAGGGAAAACCTCTTCCCAACACATCTCTGTGCTTCTGCAAATCCCTTTCCAGGACAATTTGTCCTCCTCCCACTTGCTGCATGTCCCATGACACCCTACCACGGACACCAACAATTCCTGCTCTGTAAGGAGTTTCCCACTTTTCTGGGAGCGAGGGGCTTCCCATCCCTGCAGCAGGCATGTGCAGCACGTGGATCCATTGCCCTGGAAAACTGGGAAAGCCTGCCAGGGGTCTCTGGTAGGTGAGAGGCCTGTGGCCAAGTGCTCAGCTCCGTGAGGCCAATCCCGCACCTTCTGGGATATGGTTACTTCCCAGAGGAAAGGGGGATGCTAAAGGACACGTGGCTGCCTCCCTAAATGAAAAAGAGTGTAAAGCTGTTCAGATTAGTGCACATCAATCCCTGCACTGGAATCAAGAGATGCTTTGGTTTGGCAGCACTGGGGACAAAGCCACCATTTCGTTCAAAGTGTATTTAATGTGACAGAAGGAGGCGGCTTCCTTTGACAGTTTTACAGCTCTTATCAGATTACATCAAAATTAAATTAAAACAATCTAAAAGAAGTGTGAAGTACTGCAGGGAGAACACAAATAAAACACTCCTCTTTGTAGGCTTTCAGGGAAGGAACCACATTCCTTATCAGGGATGGGAGGATGGAGATTATTCTTGAGTCAGTTATGAGCCCAGTGGCTGCGGTGAGCACCGAGACACGGAACAAAGTGGGAAATACATCAGGGGGACCAGGCTGAGGCTCCTTATTTCCTTATTTTTTGTTAAATAAATAGCAGGATGTTGAGCCCTGCTGTGGTTCAACACCCTCAAGCCCCAGCCCGAGGTCCATAGTGAAAAAAACTTCCCAGGGCTGCCCAGGTTGTCCCAATGGGTCAGAGACCATCAGCCCCTTCCCACCAAACCCTCAAAACTGGAATAAGCCTTCCAGTTTTTTCAGTTTGGGAATAAGGCTTCCAGTGGGCTCAGGATTTCAAACCGTGCTGGAGGTGCTTGGAAGTTTTGCACTGTTTTAAGTGTTCTTTTAGCAAGCACAAATATTTCCGAAAGCAAGGCCAGATTTCACCTGTGGGCTCTTGTGAAGGTGTGAGGGAGATCTACAAAACACACCTTTGCTTTCAGTAAACAGAGGAAGGGGGAACAGTCTTCATGACAAGTGCTTTATATGGGAATGCAGTACTAAAAGGCTCCCAAATCCTCTGCTGGGCATTCCTGGAGTGGGAAAGGTCTGTCTCAAGCCAAAGTTCTCCATACTTTGTTGAGGGGGTATTTAGACGGACACACCAAAACACACCTTTGCTTTCAGCAAACAGAAGAAGGGGGGAGAACAGTCTTCATTACCCTCTGCTGGGCACTCCTGGAGTGGGGAAGCTCTGACTCAAGCCAAAGTTCTCCATACTTTGTTGACCGGGTATTTAGACGGACACGCAGGGTCTGAGCCAGGCTAATTTGGGGGCAGCTGGGTGCCATTACACCCATTCCACAGAGCTTTTCACTCTGTGTTTAAACCCATGAAGCTGAGCTGGAGGTTGCAGGTGTTGGAAACACCAGGAACACTGGTGGATCACCAAACCCAGTCTAGGAACCCCAAAAGCTCCCGATCCCCCCAAGACCAGGGCATGTCCCCAGCCGGAGCCTCCAGCTCCAGCTGAGCTTTCATGTGTCTGTTCTTGGCCAGAAGTTCTAACGAAGCATAATTACTGTGATGATCTCGCACTAATTGTACTCTGATTGCCATCCTAATTATGCTTAAGCATTTCGCCGCTCTCCGCAATTTTGTCTATTGATGTATCGCTTCTCCTTCATTTCAATTATTCCCGCAGTATTCAGATTTTATTGGGGCCCTGGAATTTAAGCGCTCATTTGGCAACTTCCTTTCAAAGGGATTGAAGTTTTTATCTGGAAATGAAAGGCGGGCGTTCTGTTTTCATTCTCCAGCTGGAGATGTGAATGCAGGGCTGGAGATGGCTGTGGCTGACTGTGTCTTCTCCCACATGAATTTTGGAGAGGTGACAGCACCAGAGGGACACAGTGGCACTCCAGAGGACGAGGAAATCAGGGTTGTTTTTTTTTTTTCTTGAAAACCATGGTGTACAATAAACTCAGCAGAGCCAACTGTAACTGTTCAACAGCTCCCAGTTATATTTTGGATTGGCGCTTTGCAGATTTCCCCCTTTTCCAGCGACATGGACCCTGCGTCGCCCCAGCACCAAACCGGGGGCTTAACACCCGCGGTAATAACCTGGTGGTGAGAGATGGGCTGATGATAAATAATTATTTAAATTTAAAAAAAAAAAAAAGCCTTCAAGGCTTCCAAAGCGCCTCTGGGCGGCGCAGGCCGCGCCCGCCCGTTCCCATGGCAACGCGGGGCGGCACTTCCGGGGTCCCGCGCGGGGCACGGCGGGAGCCGCACATGGGCTCCGGCGGAAACCGGCGGGACCGGGATCGGGATCGGGATCGGGATCGGGATCGGGATCGGGATCGGCCCCGGGATGGGCACCCCCGCGACCGCCAGCCCCGCGCCAGGTGAGCCGGGTCCCCCCGCGGGGTGCTTGGGGCTCGGTTCCCGCCCCGGGCCGCGGATGCTTTCCCCGCCTTGTTCTCATCCTTCTTCTTTTCCCCTTCCATGTCTGAGTTCTGGAGGGGCTGGGGAGTCAGTGGCCAGAGATCCCGGGACGTGCAGCTGGAGTTTGAATCCCAGTTGGAATCCCCCGTCAGACTTTGCTGGCCGGGTTTGTTTATTCCCTGCTGCTGCTCCCGTGTCCAGCCCGCTCCTGGCTCTGCAGCCTCGGGGGTTTGTTTGCTGTGCCTGCCCAGGAGCCCGTCCCTGGGTGTCCCTGCAGCCTGAGTGGCATTCCCCACCCCATGCTGGTGGGGAGGGAATGGGCTTTGGGGAGCTGAGGAACGCAGTGTGCTCCCTGCGGGATGGGGGAGTGGGGAATGGGGTCATCAGATCGCATCCATCGGCTTCTTCATCCCTGAGGATATCGGTGTTGTCCACCGAGGCAGGAAAATTACTTGGAGAAGTGTAAAAACAAGATTGTGAAATCTGCGTTTGCTTGGCTGTGCGTCGCGTAGGAGGGAATTGAAGGGATGAGATCCCAGATGGAGCGTGGCTGTTAAATTGTGCACATGACACGCAGCCCCAATCCTGCTCCAGGATCACACGGACGCCTTGATCTCCCAGGCAGAGCAGCAGGAAGGGTTTTTCCTCTCCCTTCTCTGCAGGGAAACTGCAAGGGGGTGTCTGTGTGTGTAGGGAGAGCCCAAATCCATGAAAAAATGTGCCAAGACGTGTTGGGATCTGTGATACCCCCTTTGCTGCCTAATGACAGGCTGGTGCTGCTCCTGAAGAGGCACTTGGCTTTGCTTGTGGCAGGGCCTGCAGTGAGGCTCTGCTGGAAGCTTCTCGTGGTTATTTTCAGTTTTTCTCTCAGGGCACGGTTGTTCATCCTCAGGTGCAATTTGGAACTATTCAATAATGGCAGCTGTGCTCTGTTCCCAAAAGCACCTTCCCTGTGGGATGGCTGTGGGTGAGATGTGGGTGACTTTGTGGTTCAGCATGTGTCTGTCCCATGCCTGCTGCCCTGGCACTGCTCTGGGCAGTTCCAATGGCTCCACAGGCTCTCTGCACCTCCAGGATTCCTGGTGGACACTTATTCCTTGCAGCAGTGGTGCTCACCTGCCTCTAGATGGACCTGGCCTGGATGCCAGGAGGGAAATATGAGCTTGGTTTCAAGTTCAGTTCCCAGATAAAATGCTTGGCTGGCGTGTGGGGTCTGTGAGCTGGGAGGGGTTTTGGAAGTGTGTTCTAATCCATCCCTGTGGCAGGTGCAGGGGAGCTGTCCTGGGAACAACTCCAGCCAAGCGTTTCTGGCATGGAAGAGGGTCTGCCATGGGATTGTGGGGCAAGAAGGGGAGGGATGGGCTTGGGAGCTGCCCATGGTGGGGTTCAGAGCCCTGCCTGGGCCGTCTGGGGTCTCTGGCTGCTTTGGTGGGTCCCATGTGGATGTTCAGGCATCTCTTCCCTTGCCAGCAGCCCTGTTCCAGTGAGGAACAGAGAGAGGGGTGAAAGTCTGGAGTTGTTCAGAGCTGGGCTGGCAGGTGAGTCTGCAACTCCCAGCTCAGCAAGGGCTGTGCTCTGCAAAACCCCTTAGCTCTGATGTTTGGAGACCTCAGATGGTGAAATACTTTTATCTCACTGTGTGTTGTTTTCTTCCAGTGAAGCCAGAAGGCTGGAATTAGGAAGGCAGAGAATGGAATACACAATGGCTGATCTACACCTGTAAGCCTGTTTAAAAGCTTCTTAGGGGTTATTTTATTTTAGTTACAAAGGTTTAGTTATCTTGGAATGCCTTTAGAATGTTGTCTTGAAGGTTTTTCAGTAATAATACATTTATATTCATGTTAAGTGTAATGCAAAATTCATGTATTCAAGTTATTGATGAAATGGCTGCAGCAGTGACGTAAATGCCTCATTCTGTGGATACTAAAATCTTGGGAATAACCAACATGCAGGTTGGCTTTATCCTATTTTTACAAAATCACCACAGCTTAGTCCATGCTGGAGAATCCCAGGGTGTTAGAAAGTTGAAGGCCTTAAGAAGCCCTAGGGGTTATTCCAGGTTCTGGTCCTGCTCTTTGGAGTCTTTCTGCAGCATCTATTTAATGTGAGTTGCATGGACATGTAAGACTGTACCAAAAAAAAAACAAACCAACAAGCCCAAACCCTAAACAGCAAACCAAAGCAAAAAAAAAAAAATCCAGAAGTCCCAACAACCAGACAGGACTGAGAAGTGTCATCCAGTGCTCCATTCCTTTCCTCAGAGGTGTTCTGTAAAGCTCCAGGGACTGAGTGCTGGGTGCTGTGGGAGCCTTTCTTGTGAAAGGGGCCAAAAATCCAGATACAAATTAAAGAAAAAATGCCTGGACAGGTGGGGCAGCATTACATGTAGTTTGTTTCCTGGTTTTATTGGATTTGGTTTAATCTAGCAGGTTTAGAACTGCAGTTTATCTGAACATTCTGGGGGCTTTGGGTTGCAGTTTCCCTCCTGGCTGAAGTGGAGCTGTGAGCCAGGGGCATCTTTGGGTGCCCATTTCCCTCTGTTGGCATTAATGCCGTGTGGATGCCCTGGAGACACATCAGGAAAGGGAACCTGGTTTGTAGGTGGCAGGAAACTGGGTCAGATGGATTTCCAGTGCCCCTCTTGGTGGCACCATGGATTTAGGCAGCTGTGGAACCTCAGCTCCGCTCTTCCCGCCTGGGTGACTTTCAGAACACGTTCCTCTGCTAGTTTTCATTTTGATTTAATGGAATAGGAGTGACTAGCACATAATCCATTTAAAACACAGTCACAGGAGATTTTTTTATGTGTTTACCCTTTGGAACACCAAAGCCCCCGTGTACATCTGCAGATAAGTGGCAGATACATATTTTTATAAATGTGCGGAAGAGCGAGTCTTCTCCTTTTTGGTGTCTGGGGCAGCTCCCCCTCAGTGTTGGTGTGTGTGTCTGAGGCAGAGTGATGGTGACGGATGCTTTTGGTTTATTTTCACACCTTTGAGTGCCTGTTCTTTGCCCTGCAGAGCGAGGCAGAAGCTGCAGAGGCACCTGGAAGCGGTGTCAGCGCGGCAGCAGCTGGCCCTGCACCGGAACCAGGCCCTGCGCCAGGAATTCCTGCAGCTGGAGGCTCACATGGAAACCACAGGCTGGGAGAGCATCAGGAAGATGGAAGTAACTTCCTATAAGACTTGGTCATGGGTGTTTGCTGTTGTTATGCAGGAATCTCCTGGTATGTCCTAGAGCTGGAAGCAAACTCGATCAGGGTCTGTATTTCAGGTTGTAGGATAGACAGGTCTGAAGTACCCCAGATTCAAGAGATGCTGTAAGAAAAAGCCAGGCCCTGAGGTTTCTTGAATCATATTATTATGATGATGTTGTTGTTTTCCATAAAGTACAGTTTGGAATGTTGCAAAGTGATGATTCCAGTTTTTTTAAAAAATGAAATTGCAATGTCTGCTTATGCCACAGATGCGTGGAGCCAGGTTTTTGCAGGAGCACAGTCTGGGATGGAAATGAGTTCGTTCCTGCATTCTAAGAGCAGGGGCACTCCTCAGAAACATTTGGCTGTATTTATTCCTTACACAGCAGTAGCCCAGGTAGCGCCTGCTGGATCTGGTGACATTCCCAGAACATCTTTTCCTGGCTGCAGTGCAGTAGCCCAGAATTCAGAGCCTGTCCCTGGGGTGTGCCATTCCCTGCCTCTGATTTTTACTTGTTACTTGAAGCAGAGCAGGAGAGGGGCTGTGCTGCAGTGCCAGCTTTCCCTGCTGTTTTGAGGGGGATTTTCCTCCTCAGCAGCCCTGGTGACACCAGTCTGCCCAGTGTCAGGTTCTGACACCTGCTGCAAGTCCCAGTCCCAGTGCCACAGGTCGAGCTGCTCATGGGGTTTTTGTTCAGTCCTTCCATTTTGGTGTTCCTGTGCCATGCATTTTATCTTTGCCAAGTTACAGTTACTTTTCGGAGCTGCTGAACAAATGACATCTCCTCCGTGTTAGCTATGGAAAGCAGGAGAGTTATGGAGCATGCAATCATTTAATCTATCATGGGAGTACACAGAAAGAAATTATTGCTGTTTTCTCTCCTTTTTTTCCACAGAGAATGCCCTTTAGGAGTGCTTTATCACAACTCTGTGCACATTTATTACGTGGCTGTAGCTCACAAAACTCCTTTTGTTTCTGAAAGATACACTTTTGCCCCCTGCGTTTGGTCAGTAATTTTTAGGAGTATAAATAAATTCACTTCAGCTTTCAGCAAAATCCAGGAGTTACATCTGAGTTTCTTTTGAGCATCTCGACTCCTCACGTGGTGAGGTTTTGTTCCCTAAAATTCCACGCTCGGGTTTCCCGAGCAGCTCCTACCTGGGAGCCGAGCGCGCAGCCGGTGCGAGGGGCAGAGGCGGGCGAGTTAATTGTGTGGAGGATTCATTCCCACGTTCCCTGATGCAGCACGGGTCCTGCAGCACTTCCAGCCCGGTGTGCTGCTGCTGCTGCTGCTGGGGGCTGCAGTTAGGAGCACGCAGGATTAATTGCAGGTGCTGCCCAGCTGCGCTCCCAGCTCCGCTCCAATAAACCCCGGAGTGCGGCAAGCCGCGTTTGGAGCCTTCCCTGCCAGGCTGAAAAACACATTGTGGAGCTCATCCCATCCCATTGTCTGGGGGCAGCAGCAATATTTTGGTGCTACAGGTGCTGGTTGGGATGCAATAAATACAGTAAATATGAGCGAAGAAGTTCTTGCTGTTCTGTGGGATTCTAAATGATGGGGATAAATAAATGTGAAAGCCCTGCAGCAGATTGTGTACAGGCCACGCTGCCTGGGCAGGGGAGCGGAAAAATGAGGAGCAAATGAGATGCCTGCTTTTAAATATAGTCTGAGTTAAAAAGGCTGTGGGGGCTTTGCATTTAGAGGTGCACGTTTTGCAGAGTGGTGTCTCTTGGGCTGGGGGGGTTGTTCGGCCTCCAGTTTTGTGTGACGGATTTGTTCCCTTTTAGGAACGGTATGGAAGGGAAATTAAAAACCTGTTATCCCTTCGAGAGGGCAGCTTGTCAGCAGGAGGTGACAAGGAGGAAGGACCCAGCGAGCAGGTAATGGGGGGGAAATGGGCTTTATTCCAACGCCGTGCTCTCCTGGGAGCTGCACAGCCTTTCCGTGGGGATTGCGGCGCTGGCACATGCAGTGTGAAATTGTGTGTAGCACCTGAGAGAAGGAGAACACCTGGGTAAAAAGTGCAATAGTTTCATCCAGAGAGCCGGAATTTAAAAAAAAAAAAAAATACTCTGACTGTTTGCACACGTCTTCTTGTTGGCTTTTATAATTCCTGTGCTGGATGGTGTGGAGATGGTCGTGACCGAGGAGGAAATGTTCCTAATGAGGGATATTTGCAGAACTGCAGCCGAGGAGCCGTGTGCTGTTTTTATAATTTTGTGTGTTTTGACCTTTCCTCAGAAGGAGCAGAAGGAGATTGCATATCTAAGGAACAGACAAAAAGACTGACAAGGAATACTTAAATATCTGCTGCCATATATCTGCAGTAATGCAGGCTCCTAATCCCTCCTCCTATCTCCATATAAATGATACAGTTCAAGACCAGAGCTGTTTTCTCCACTAAAAGCAGCAAAGCTCTTTTAGATGAAATGTCTAAAAACATCTTGTAATAACTTGGAGCATGCTGGCAAGAGTAGTCACTTGTGACTGTGTGTGGAAGCCCCTCAGCCAGGCGGCGCCGGAATAGGCAGGACGGGAGCATCACTCCATTATTCCGAGGAGCCGGCAGCACGCGCGTCCCTTAGGCTACAGCATTCATTAAGGAAAGCTTACTGGGCTGAAAGCTGGGAACAGATGATAACGGGATATGATTTTCATATTTAATGCATTCCTTGGAAGAGTGTGTGTGCTGCAGATTGATAGAAGAATCAACTGCTACTTTACTAAAAGACTTTCTAGTTTGCCCTATAGCTACCGATGGAATCATTCAGCCAAGAAATTAACTTTTTCCCCTTTTACCTGCTTTATGTATCTGCTAAGCAGGCTGCTGGCTGCCAGGGAATGTTATTATGCAGTTAAATGTTTGGTATTTAAGACTCTTATCAGAAAAGAAACAGAGGCCACACTATTTTGTTTTTATAGTAGGAGGAAGGTTTTTGGTTTCCTTTCTTCAGTGCATTAGCAGTCGTTAATCTGAGTTTATAGGAAGTTTTCCCCATAGATTAAAAAGTTAAAAACCTTGAATTTAGAGCGTTCTTTAAACTGTAATACACAAAGCAGTGAAGCCTAGCAGCCTTGACCTATATAGGCAAACCTGTGGCAGGGTGCAAATTGTGGTTGGAACTGGGAGGTGTTCTGGGGAAAGGTGAGTTTATTTTGGAATGTGAGCTGTCCAATTAGGGCAGGCAGTGTGGGAGATGGGATTTCCAGCTGATGGAAAAGTTGTCATCAGTACTAGGGCATCAAAGGCTTGTGCTGTGACTTGAGGGTTGAAAAACTGGGCAGGTTTTGGGCACTATGACAGTGTGGTGTGTACACAAAAATGTCAATTTGTGCATAATAATGGAGTGGATTATGGATTCCTTTATCCCCTGTCCTCTTCCTCCTCATCTCCCTCCTAAAAAACAGAGGTAACTTCAGCTACATTGTGCATTTTTGCCATGTCCCTGGGGTGTGTTTCAGCTCTTAATTCTGTTTTTTTTTCACTTCAAATGTGTGGGTTCTTCTGTCCAAAACACAGGAGTTTGTTCTCAGTGATGTGGCACAGAGTCAGTCACAGAGAGAGTGTGCAGTCAGCACGTGGGATGTCCAGGATACAGCTTGTGGAACTGGTTTTATTTCCCAGCCCTGGGATTGGGATGGCTTCCTTCAAGCTGGTTGGGATGCAGTGACTGTGTGATGACTCCCTCAGTGACATCTTGGGGGGTCGTCTCTGGGCCTTGGGGACCCAGGAGGACAATTCCAGAACCAGCCTCCTACAGATAGGCAGTATCCCAGTGCTGAAACCCTTCAGGAATGTCTGGCACGTTCCTGAGCCATGGGAAATGTGCCCTTTTGGGCTCCCAGTGTCAAGGGGAGTCCTTAAGTTCAGAAGTCCCACCCTGAAGAGCTCCTTTCCAGCTGGCAGAGCTGCACAGCCCAGGCTCCTGGATTCTCTGTGCTGGGAAGTCAGCTTGGAACCTTTTCCTTGGAGCCTTCAAAAGATTTTGGACTTGGGCATGCTGGAACCTCCCAGGAACACCTGTGGGTGGCAGAGTCCCTTCCAAGGGAAAAGGATCAGTAGGAATGTGTGCTGTGCCTGTGCCTGTTTGAAATCCATTTGTTTTGGAACACTGCATCCAGGAGCTGCCCAAGCCATGCAGGACTGGCAGGAGGCATTTGAAAGCACCAAATCCCACGCCTGAGAAGTAATTAGGAGGAACGTGAGAGCAGTGGTGATGGAATAAGCTGTGAACTTAATCTGAGTGGCAAACCTTTACTACTGCTTAAAATGACTTCATGGCTTTTTGTTCTGCTCCTTGTTACGTGGAATTTGAGCTTTTTTAAGGAACCTTAGTCACAGAGCAGACAAGATGCCTTTGTTTCCTTTCAGCTGGGCTTGGCAGCTGACTTGGTGTGGGAGGAAGAGGTCAGGCAGTGAAAGAGAGGGGAGAGGTGTGGAGGTGACTGCAAATTGTGCTGCTGGAATTTGGGGGCTGGAGAGGGAGCCCTGCTCAGCGTGAGCAGTGGCATTACGATGGCTAATTTTGGCTTTGCATAAACTGGCCATGACCCTACAGCAGCCGTGGTGACAGCAGCCACTCCTCCTAAATTGTCCTGATTGAGTAGGTTTGCAAAGGAGAAGAGGCAAGTGTTAAAACAAAGGGGTTTGGCAGCAGAGTGGTTGTATCCTGGAGCTGGTTTTGTGCAAGTTCAACAGTCCTTAGAGGAAAGTGCCATTCAAATTGTATCTGCTCCGTGTCCCATGTCACCTGGTGGGAAAGGCCATGTCACTGCCATGGGAAGAGCAGGAGGGAGACAGTGAAACTGAGTTTTGTCTTGTTCCGTAGTGTGAGGGGAGCTGGATCTGCTGAGTGATTCACAAATGGAACACGATGATCCCTCTGGGCCTTGTGGGCAGCTCTTAAATGTGGTGCTTTGGTCCAGGGTCTCCAGACCTGTGTATATCCTAATCCCAAACGTTTGACTCTTTGTAAAATCCAGTCACCACTTACATGGGTTTGAGTCCTGGGTGTGTGTGGGTCCCTTTTGGCTGGGCTGGGTGCAGGCAGCTTCTGCCACTGGATGTTTTGGCTCATGGAGCTTTAATGCAGGCCTGGGCCCTCATTTCACACTGGGATGCACGGAATGCATGCCAGGGGTTGTGTCATATTAATGCCACAGCAGTCTTGCATTCTGTGACACTTTTGTCTTCAGAGCCCACCAAGCCACCCTCAAGAAGCTGCCACACACAGTTTGTCTCCTGTTTGTCTCCTTCAGCCATGTCCCACTGTGTGTTCCAGGTGCTGCAGGCCGGAGGACAGGTGGGAATTGGCACCAGTGCAGCCGTGCCAGGAGAGCTGGGCTATCCAGCAGCAGCCTTGCTGGGCTGCCCCACATCAGCTGCCTCGGCCACAGGAGGTTTGGGCTCTCAGGAGAAGCCCCCTCTGCACTCCCCATCCCCTGATGGGCTCGCTGGAGACAGCCAGGAGGGAGCAGCGGGACACGGGGAGCTGGCTGCCAGCGAGGAAGGCTCTGAGCAGCTCACCTCAGCTTCTGGTGCCAAAGCAGCCCCCCCGAGGCCGGGAAGTGTTCCAGGTATGGCAGTGGTATGTGTCCCTGTCTGCCTCCTCCCCAGCAGAGCCTGCCCACAGCTGCTGTTCCTCCTGCACCTCTGGCACTTTGCTTGGAGCAAAGTGGCTCTTACTCCTTTTTTCTCTCGTTGTTCCTTTCTTCCTTTTGGCTCATTTTCCTCTCAGGCTGCTCAACAGGACAGGGAAGGACGTGCCAGGGGCTGATCCTGATCAGGGCACTGTGAGGGAAGATTTCCTCACTGCTGTGCCCACAGAGGTCCTGGTGTAGTCTGAGCCTTGTCTGAAGAGGTGTAATGTGAACCTGCTTCACCAGAGGAGTCACTTCTGGGTCAGGCTGATTCCCTTCTCCCTGAGAGCTGGTGCACAATAGCTGACTGATTCCCCCACAGCTGATGTGGTCAGGTAGCTGGTCTGTGTGCCAAAGTGGTTTCTGAGAAGTGACAGGTTTGCTCCCAAACCCCAAAGGCTGCAGCCTCTCTGAACTCCCCCTTGTGAGAGGAGCGTGGAAGGACAGGGGCCGAGGGCAGGGAGGCATCCGAGGGATGGATGGATGGATGGATGGATGGATGGATGGATGGATGGATGGATGGATGGATACTCTCTCACACGGGGTGAACAATGTGGGTAAGCTTAGTTTCAGTCCCTGTACTGTGAGCTACTCCATGGCCCTGCTAATATTTTGAGAAGAATAATTAGAGTTTTTATATCTTTGATTTTTTTTTATTGCTATTACAGGGGCAAAGCCTAGCCTGAGCAGCTGGTGGGCTCACAGGGAGGGGAGCAGCGCCAAGCTCCCGTTCCCTGCCAGTGCTGAGGAGGAGACAAGGCCAAGCATTCCCAGCCTGCAGCAGGAGCAGGGCAGGGATGCCCGGGCTCCAGAGTGCTCCCCGCTGCCCCCACCGAGCCCTCCTGCAGCCCAGGAGGAGCCCTTGGACAGCTCAGCACCACACAGGTACCACCTCCCTGTTTCCTGCATCAGCTGGGCTGGTCAGGGCACCAAAGCTCACACCAAGTTCTCCCCTGTCCTTTAGTACCTTGTACCTGTGCTGGGCATTCAGGGGCTTCGGGCACCTCACTGGGGTCAGAACTGGCAAGTGAAGGATTTGTTACTAAAATGCAGGTGATGTTCTTTAAATGTACAGAAATCTTATTCCGGTCACTCTGCTTGGTAAAACTTCCACTGGTTGAACCGTTTGAACATTTTGTTTGGAAATAGAGTAAGGGAGGACAAGAACAGTGTGCTGCAGACACAGGGCCTCTCCTCTGCTGCAGGATTTTGTGGCAAACAAATGCAGCGCCAGAGCATCGGGCTGAATCCATCCCAGCAGGATTTTTGGCCCCGCAACGCCCTCATGAGACAGGGAAGTGCATCCCTGTCTCGCTGGGACAGTGCCCACGGTGAGGTGGTCCCTGGAGCTGGCCCAGGTCACCGGGGAGGGCTGGCAGGTCTCTAGTGGGATGTCATGCAAAGGAAACAGCACTTTTACCAGGAGAGCAAGGTTTTGCTCCTGCAGAAGGAGTTCTCTTGTGCCAGTTGGTTGGGTTTTCCCATCTTGGTGGTTCACAATGTTTAAATCTGTTAATGTCTGTTCCTGTTGTTGTGGTGGTGCTGATGTCAGTGCTGGTTTGGGTGTTGACACCTGAGCAGAAACTGGGGGCCATAGGCAGAAACTTCCGTAACTTTATCCTTTCCTATTTGCATCGGGCTGTTGCTCACTATGGAAACATCATCTGATTTACATGTAAAAAGCTTTCCCCCAGTCCTCCCTTTGTATCCCACCTGTTAATCACAGCAGAGCAGGCTAGAGCACCGAGTGCTTGTCTCTGTGAGAGGAGTCAGAGCTGACCTGAGCACCAGCAGTTTAACCTTGTGTTCCCTCCCCGGGAGGCCTTGCTGTGCAGTGCCTGACGAGACACGGAGCAGCTCTTGAGGCCCGGGGAAATTATACACAAGGTTTGAGCGCCTGCATTGTCCCCGGTGCACGGCTGGAAGCGCAGCACACAGCTCTCCTCCCGTCGTGCCAGGCTGAATGCCTCCGCTTCTCAAGGCCATGGGAGTGGGATCACCACTGCTCGCTGGTGCTGCAGAAAAGATGCAGGTTTTCATTTGCTTTACCTGAAAATGAGAAGGCAGATCCACCAGCAGGAGCTGTTCCCTTGTTGTGATCACAGCCAGGTGGGCTTTCCAAGGCGCCTGGAGTGCAGCATGTGCACTTGAGCCTTGCAAAATTAATTGGCCAAAAATCTTGTGGAAAAGCTTGCAAGTGATTAGTACATGAATTTCAATTGTACATGTTACACAAAGTATGGGAATGCAGCTCCCTCTGTTCTGTCACACCACGGATTCACAACAGGTGATGTCCTTCCAGTCCCTGTGGTTTTCTCTTGCAAAATTCCTGTGCTGGCTGAAGAAATGTGCTGAAATTCGCCAAATTCTGTGTATTTGTTGCCTTAACTTGAAATGTCTGTAACATGGACTCTCCCACTGCAGCAGTGTCACTGTGGCATCAGAAGGAAGGAATTGTTCATACAGTTCTGGTGAATTATCTGAAATGAGTACAAGGGATGGTGTTGAAAGGAGCAAAGACATGGCTGACTCCAGAGGCAAAACCAGCCCTTGTTGTGTGCCAGGAAGCCACAAGTTTTTATCTTTGGAGCAAATACCTCTCCTGTCTTACTGCAGAGATGCCAGCCTTTGTTTTTTAAGGAGTTTTGGGTTTTTTCCCCTGAAGTGTTGGCAGCCAAGGAAGGGAGTTGTTGTTGGGAAAGGTGATTGAGCAGAACGTTTCCATCTTGTTGCAGGTCACAGTAGGGTGCTGAAGCTTTGCTGCCTCAGTTACCAGACCTGGTGATTGTTGGGCAGTCATGTCAGTGTTCCGAGGATCAGAGGCCGCTCTCCTGCCTTCTCACACCCAGCCCCACGGGAAGAGCTGGGATGGGTTTCCTATCAGCAATCCCCCAGCACCACGGGGGCTCATGAAGGCTCCTGGTGTCCCCTCCCATGGAGCTGCTGATCCAAGGGGAAAGGCTCCGTGTCCTCTTACCATTCCCTGCAGCACCCAGCCCTTTCTTTGAGGGCTTAAACCCGGGGGGCAGGAGGAGGGGGGAGAGGGTCTCTGAGAATTAGTGTGGAGAAAGATGATGACTATTTTAAGGCCTGAGCTGAGGGGGTGGAAAAAGGCAGAGCTAATGCCTGTGCTGCTTCAGCTGCATTGAGGAGGACTTAGCACAGATGGATTGTGCATTACAAAATGTAACACATAATTCAAGCTGTCAGCTTAATCAGACTGTTTCCAGGAAGCAACCTGTAAAAGAGAAGGACCTCTTGTTTGCTGACCTCTGATCCGTAGCCTGCTGCAGATTGTCATACATTTTGTTTTTCTTTATGTTGGTGTCCCTTCCTTCCCCTTCCCTTTTTATTATTGTATCCCTCTCGAGTGGCACCCTGGAAGGACCACCCAGCGGGAGGAAAACAATGGGAAACGAGCCGGCCGCTGGAATACAGGGTTTGTAAGGCTGGGGGAAAAGAGAAAGCACTGTTTAACTGCCTATGTGATCTCCCGGGCATTGTTTTGCTTATTAAATGTCTAGGAAACTCGACTAAAGACACAGCAGCCCTCACTTAATTGTTCACTGTTGCCCAACACTCGGAGGGAAAACACAGCTTTGGGCACAGCTCAGCACGAGTGTGCAAATGCTGCAAGTTTTTGTGCACAGAGCTTCTCCCTGGAGGCACAGTAAGCCAGGGTTAACTGTGGAAACATGTCAGCTCCTGCATGTGCGGGAAAGAAAGAAAGGAAACTCTCTTTTGCCCCAGCTGCGGTGTTCATTGCTGGCGAGACCTGGGCTGGGAGCCCCACAAAGAGGCAGCTGGGGACCTGAATAGCCATTTACACCTCTGTCCCGGGATTAGCCCGCGGCATTGTTTCAGTGGTTAAGTCCTCATTTGCATCATTATAGAGGTGCAGCTTCATCAAAACCCCTCTGAGGTTCCAGGGCCGTCCCCATACCTGTAGGTGGTCACCAGATTTGTTTCGCTTGTGGAGGTGAAGGAATTAAAGTGCTCGGCACGGGGGTAATTTCCATGCAGCGGCTCAGCCCGGGCTGATTTTTGGATGGTTTGTTTGCTCATGTGCTTCCTACAGAGCTCGGGAACGTGGTTCTTGCCGTTGGCTTTGGAGAGCTCAAACGAAGCTGTGTGTTTTCCCAAGGGGGATGCACTGACAGCCTTGTCACACCCTGTCTGTCCATCCGCAGGCCCGGCGGGATGCAGACCGAGCTCCAGGAGCTCTGCCACGCGCTGCAGCTCCTGGAGGGGCTGGTGGAGAGGACGAGCCCCCGGCACCGGGCGCTGTACCAGGGACAGCCCTCGGGGACAGCGGAGCTGCCCAGGTGAGTGAGTGCAGCCTGGGGAACAAATGGCCCGTGCCAAAAAATGGAGCAAGAGAGCAAAGGGAATCCCCAGAACCAGGGTGTTGCCAAAACCAGTGGCAGAGAGCCCTCGCTGTGCCTCCTCAGCCTCTGGGCCCCTGGGTGCAGAACTGGGAATTGTTGGTGACTTTATTGACAATGATGCACAGCCTCCACAGACTGAGACTCTTGTAGGCAGCTGATGATTGGAGGATTCCTCGGGAATTAGGGAAGAGGAGCCCCAAACAGGCCTGCCCCCCAGCTGGCCACTGGAGGAGATGTGCTCAGCTTCCCTCTCCCTGGGTGGCTGCACCTGGTACGTTCCAAGTGCTGAGTGTGACCTCCCTGTCCTGTCCCACATGTGTCCCAGAGCACCACGGATGTTTGTTTGTCCCTCTGGCTGGGACGGGCTGTGCTCACAGGGCTTGTCCCCCCTGCTCTGTGTTGCAGTGCTCGTGCTGGGGCCCGCGGGCTGGCTCAGGGTGACCTCGAGGTGATGGAGGCCGTGGTGCTGCGGCAGCTCCAGGCCATGTCCCAGCGCACCGCGGAGAGAGCAGGGCACGAGGAGCACACCAGGTACGGGGGACACAGAACCCAGCAGGGGTCAGGAACATCTTTGTCTGTGCCCTGGACCCATGCTGCCCCTCTGGCACCGAGGCAGCCAGGCCAGCACTGGCAAACGGAGCCCTCGGAGCACGGAGACTTGTGGCACTCGCAGTGGGAGCATTCAGGAGCTCATTTATTTCCCTCCCATTCCCCAGTGGTGGCTCATGCTCCACAGGGCAGCCCCGGGGTCGCCCCAGCTCATCTGGTCCACAGTGTCTCCCACTGTCTGGCAGGCAGGGAATTGCAGGAGCTCCAGACACCTCTCAGCCAGCCATTCCCAGGATCTGAAGGTAAGGCCGACAAATGTAATTCTGAGAAGGAAATTATTCTGTTTGAGACAGAAGATGCACGTGGCCTTTGAAAACAACAAAGTGCAGTTATTCAAAATGGGCTTTTTCTTCCCGTGCATATGCCACAAGGACAAGTGAAAATTACTTTTTTTTTTCAGGTCTCTTTAACCCAGGAATGAAAACAATTTCCATTCTGTCTTGCTTAGCTTCTGTCTAGACCTCCCTCCCTGTCGCAGGCTCTGCAGTGCTCAAGTGCTGGCAGGATCGGGGCACTTGTGAGCGCTGCAGAAGGGTCTCTCTGCAGTACCTGCCTCTCTTGCGAGGCTGATACGCCTGCGGGCACCAACAGCTCCTTGTGTCTCCTGAATGGTTTCTTAGGGACAAACACTCCTGGAGTTAATTGGAATTCACTCCTCTGAAACTTCACTGGAGCAGCAGGAAAAAAAAACAGCTTTGGCAAACAAAAGGATTGCAGGATTGAGATTTTCTACATTAAAAGACATTTTAGTTGCTTTTTTCCTTTTCCTTTTTTATTCTTTCTGAGCAAAAGACAAGCCTGGGGCAGTCAGTGCTGGGCTGTGCCCCAGGGAGTAAGCGAGGCCAAGGTGCTGAGACCAGGGTTGTGTCTTTGGATCCTGAGCCTCAGGACAGGGCAGGCATGATGATGATGATGATGATGATGGTGATGGTCACCCCTGCCCATCTTGCAGAACATGCGGCTTCCAACATTTCCCACTTTGAACATTTAAAAAAAAAAAAGTGGGAATTAAGGACCAGGTGGGTGGTGGCTTTTCCCATCATGTGGGTGGGGTGTCTCACTGAGGGTGCCGGTTTGTTCCTCAGGGACACGGACGCGCTGCGGACTCTCCTGAGCCACCATGGCTTGTTCCTGAAGCAGCATGGGGTTCAGCTCCCAGAGCAGGTGGCAGAGATGTTTGAGCAGCTGCTGGCTTCGGGAGAGGAGGAGCAGGACCGCCAGGTGGGCACTGACACTTTGGGTAAACCAGGGGCACTGGAGACTGCACCGCTGTGGCTGTGCCCCGGCAGGGTGTGGTGGTCAGTCTGTGGTTAATCAGCCCTGGGGTCTCAGGGAAATCTGTCCAGTGCTTCATCCCACAGGAAAAGGGACTTTTTAAGGTTCCCACCCTTTAGGCCTGTCAGGCATTGGAACAAGCTCACCCCTTTGCTCTGGTGCAAACCATCACAAGGCTTCTATCTTCATCTTTCTCTGTGACTTTTTGTCATGAATTATGTATTTTGACTTTTTTATTCAGAGTGAGGTTTCGTGCTGAACATACAGAGCATTTTATAAATGGTAGCATACTCATGGTTTTTCTAAGTTAATGCAAAAGTTTATAGCCAACTATTTAAATAAATCAATAGAAATGGTATTCCATAGGCTGTGAGTGCCTCAGCCCCTTACTGTGCTATTAATCAATTGATTTACTAAACAGTGAGAGAGTTAGGGCAGAACATGGAGTAGATTTTACAGACTCAAGTCCATATTTCTGTCCCAAAACCAGCCCCAGAGGAACACCCTAGATGTCAGGTAGGGGAACATCTAACAGAAACACCCTGAAAGCAGATTACCTCGGGAGTGTAGATTAGCCTGAATGTGTGTTGGAAAACGCTTGAGGGGGAGGATAATGGAGCTGTGGCTGTTTCTGTTTTGAATGCTCAGATTGTGCTGGAGGCCCTTCCAGGAGAGTGTGGGGATGAGCCATCTGTCCAGAGCGATGAGTCCTCTCTCAGCCTGTCATCAGTCCCGACCAACGGCGGGGAAGGAGAGCAGGGGGAGCTGGCGCGGCAAAAACCAGGTAAGGGGTGTTCCAGCTCTGGCTGCCACTCCAGGTTCCTGGTCTGGATGTATGGGAGTCCTGTCCAAACCCCCAGGGGACTGTGTCATAGCCATTGTAGGCAGCTTGTGATGGATTGGAGGGATTTTCCTCAATATCTCAGTATCATTTGTGATTCTAGCTTTCCAAACTAAGTGATGTCTGTGGTGGTAGGTTTTTCTGCAGGAGAGGAAAGGCCAGGCCCTGTGGCTGCTATAAAATGCACCAGTGAGTTCTGTGTGTGTGTTTATAAAGCATCTCCCATTTAGGAACTGGGGGATGTATTTGCTGCCTGTTGTGACAAAGTCAGACCACAGAAGGAATTGCCAAAATGAAAGGGTTCGTGCAGGGCCATTTCCCAGCTCAGGACCTGCAGGTGTCGGGAAGAGCCCAGTTCGTTCCTTCACACAAGGAGGGAATACATTATTCCAGTGATGGCAGCTCGCTTGCTCTGCTCCTGGAGCACCCCTTCCATCGGAGTCTGGCAGCAGCAGGCAATTAGGCTGCTGTGCTCTTTGCACAGCAAATGCAAACAGGCTGCTCCAGGCTCCGAAATCCACGCCACTTTTATGTGCAGAGGCGACCAGACTTTGATTTAAGCTAATTTCCTGCAGTGGGTCTGGCACACGCCACCGTCACCAGGCAATGCTGTAGGTTGTTTGTTTCCCAAATCCATGGGGTCTTCAATTCCTCAGGACATTTGGTTGGCTTGTCTTTCTTTGAGTAAGCTACAGAGAGGCAGGGTAGCAAGTTCCCAGTGGGCGCTGCTTTTATGAGCAGTAATGGATAGTTTAGATCAATAAACAAGAGATAACAAAAGTGGGAAATTAAAGGGAGTAGGGCTTAAAAGCAAGCAAACCGGTCTGATGGCTGCCGCTTTGAAATGGTTTCATTACGGTGTGTTCACATCCAGAAGTCACAGGCTGGAGTGAAGATGAGAGTGGGCAAGAAAGTGTGGTGGGAAAGATTCCCATTACAGGTGGAAGGGGTGGCTGCATATTAACCTCGGGCCCAGCATTCGACTGGGTTATACAATCACACCCCGGCGGCTCCGTGCCGCGGGCGACTTCAGAGGGAGCAAACCCAGCTGCTCGCCCTGAGCACAGATTAAATGTCACATCACAGAGCCCACGGTGGCAGAAACAAAGGTGGGGAGCACGGTGCCTCTTTAATTCCTTGTAATCATGTTCCACGTTTGCACCGTGTGAATATCCTCTCTGCCAGCCCGTCGGGGCCCGCCGTCGGTGTTACGGGGTCAGTCTGTGTGGTGGAGATCCAGTAATTATATGGCCAACTCCAGAGGGTGCTGGTTTGATTCTTTCAGTGAGTAATTGACTGGGGATCATTAGAATAAGCGTGGGGCAGATCCCTGCCAGGCAGGAGCCGTGCCTGTGCCAGCCAGGAGCCTCCTCTCTGCCTCCTGTACCAAAGCTGCCTGCTAACAGTGGCTCCCTCCAGCCAGTGCCATCACCGAGACTTCCTGACCTCTCCTGGCTCTCTCATGGAGCAGAAGTACAACTGCTAATGCTTCCTGTGTGTAAAACTGCCAAGAAGCTCCTCAGCCAAGCCCAGTAACTCCAGTTCCAGCCCGTCCCTTGCGAGGGAGCTGTCTCTGCTGTTCCTCTGTCTCCAGGAGCGAGGCTTCTCACACCTCACTTGAAAGCCAAGCTGCTCCTTTCAGACATGATTCATCTTCAGCCCGTGATCTTCTGCAGGCTTCTTATTCCCCTCCCCTCCTCTCCCTGCCAGGCAGCTGCTCATTCCCTTTTATCATCACCATTTGCTGTGGCCCCGGGGCTCTGGAGTCATTATGGGCCTAAAATAGAAGCCACATCTCTTGTGTGTTGGCTTTTGGGCTCAAACAACTTGTTTTGAGGGGTTTAGATGAACTGATATTTGACAGCCATCCATACATGACTGTTTTGCTGTATGACTTTTTCTGAGCTTAAGGGATACAAATTTGGGTTGTCTTTTTTTTTTTTTTAATTTCAGTATTTGCTGCATTTTTTAAGTGTTGGTTTGAAACACCAGAAGGCTTTTGGGGCTTTGGGGTTTGATAGATTTCACTCTGAGAGCTGTGTGGACACACTTCCAAGCAGTGTTTAGGACGCCACTTTGGGAATGCTTCTGGAGTTTGGGTTCATTTTTCTTTTTACTTCTGTTACATAAAAAGAGAACCAAAACATTAATTTACTTGATATCTGTAAATATTCCAGAAGTATTTGTGTTTCTTCTTTAATGCCCTGTCCAGAGCTCGTGGGCGGGCACCTGTGGATAATGGGCTTTAAAGGGATTGTACCTGACCCAGAGAGGAGCAGGCTGATACCAGCAGTCTCCTGTGGTACCAGGTCATGTGAAGATGCAGGGGGAGAGCGGGGCTCATTCTCAGCTCCTCCACGGATGCTTTGTTTTTTATCGGGAAGACGCAGCAAAAGAAATTGTTCAGCTCTTTGACTGTTCCTGAGGTAGGCGAATAATGCGAGATTAAGAAGGATAAAACCCATTATTTCTTGTTTTGCTGGATGACTGTTTAAGAGTCTCATTTATGAGTAGGAAATTGCTGATTTTATTGAAGGGGCAGGATTGTTAAATCTTTAACGAAACCAGATTCTCTCTCTTCCCTTCACTTGTCTTTGATTTGAGCAGGCGTTAAGGCTGTAGAGGATTTGAATTAAAATGGTGTAACTGCTCCACTCCTTGGGCTCTGCTTTACAACAGCTGGAACATCACTCCCAGCTGCTCTCCAGGTCTGAAATCTCCTGTAGGAATAAGGAGGAAAGGCCCTATTACAAAGAAAAAATCAATCAGCCCTTCGTAATGTATTGTATGGGAACGTGAAGGGGCACAAGCTGGATTCTGCCTTCCTTTTCAGGCCACCTTTAGTGAGCCAACAATCGTGTGACCACTTTTCCCACGTGTCCTTCCTGGTGAGGTCCTCCTTTGAGGATTCCAAGGTGCTGCTTGGAGTGCACCAATCAAGGCATTTAATAAGTCTCACTCAACCTTTTGCTCTGTTTGATATATTTTGATATGTTTGGGGTGGAGGAAGTTCCTCAGGCCAGCACCAGGTTGGACACTGCACTTGTGTCAGTGTGGATGATGCCATCCAGCAGCTCGTGTTGGACACTTACGTTCCTAAAAGACCCCTGAATCTTTCTGAAGTTGTGAATTCTGGGTGGAAATTCTTCATCCATCTCTAAGCAGAGGCAGCAGCAGCTTGAGCACTGGTTTTGGGCGAGAGGCAATGCCATAAGGGGGGTTAATGTATTTTTTTTAACTCCCTTTATCTTTTTTCCCCTCTCATTCTTGATTTCTCTCTCCTCCAGGGCAGGCTCTGGCACTTCTTTGCTGGAAGTGCCTGAGACTGAGCAGGACTTTTGCCACTGCAATCCAAGTGCAGAAGGGAACTGGGAATGTGCACAGCTAGTTAGGAAGTGGAGAATCCAATGTGGACAAAAATACTGAATTTTCCTGGGTAGGGACATTGGTGACAGCAGGGCTTGGTTATACTTCCAGGGCTGTAGATAAAAACATATATAGAAAATATATGTATGCAAAGCAGCCTTTTAAAGTGGGATTTGTGCTTGAGCATCGTGTGCTTTGGAAACGAATACAAAGATGAGCAATTGTCTGACTCCAGTGAATGAATCCATTTGCCTCTTCTTTTTTTTTTTTTAAATCAATCTTTACAGGATGGAAATGAGATCCATAGAGCAGGAGGAAAGGGAAGAAAGGAAAGTGGGGATAACAGGTTTAGAAATAGTTGGGTGTTTGGCTGTTTAAGTCACAAAAATCTCAAGATATATGTTTAATTAGATTTTTATAGGATTTATTTATTTTTGTCTAATTCAAGAAAGTGGTTGAAAACACAGAGGTATCAAATAGCATTGACAGAACTGTAACATTCCAAAATAATCTACATTTAAGAGGAAGGAGAACAAAAATAACCTTTCTGCTTAATGTAAATGGGAACTTGGAAGGTTCACAGTCCCTGTTTTTCCTGCACAGGTGGAGATCACAGCCACAACAATCCCGAAAGGAGCGACAGTTTGGGAACACATTCAGAAAGCAGCTCCTTGGATGGAAACGCTCCTCCCTTCTCCAGGTAAGGCTGTAACACTGGAAATGGTTCCATGAGGGAGAAACCCTGACAGAAAAGGGCTGAAGCTCCCTTGATTTATTTTTGTACTTGGACCAGGGTTAAGGTTGCTGTTTCTGTAATCAAACACTGCAGGTTGGAACACCTCAGGGTATGAGCTCCTCCTTGCTTTTAATCCTTCTGCTGCACAGATTTTTAGGTTGCTGTGGGTGAGGCCAGTTCTGATTCTGCAATTGCTGTTAAAATCATAGAATTTCTATAATTCAAACACATTAAATATGAGCTGTAACTGACATTGATGACTGGTGTTCCTGCTTTTGTGTGGGATTAATTCTTACATCTTAGGTTCACTTGTTTTCTCTTTTAATATTTTCTGGAACTTTGAGGTTGATAAGCCTATGATTTTCCTGCCTTGTGCTATGAAATGCAAGGGTGTTCCTGTAGATGAGTTTTTGAAATGTTATATTTTAGCCATACCCTGAAGCCTGGGACAGCAGGAAAAGCAGGATAGGGCCCTGAGAACTTACATACAGGATAACTGTGACTGAGTAAAATGTGTAATTTAAAATTAACTATTTTTTATTTAAAATAAAAACTCTCTCAGCTAAACCCCATTGCTGCTACACTGCTGGCCAATCATGCCTGCAGCCACTTCTGCCTCGGTTAGATGCTGTACATTTTTTTGCCTTTTTTTCCTTTTCTCCAATTTTGATTTGTAATAGATTTCAAACAATTCCCTCCGGTCTATAATTCCAGGCCTCTCAGTGCTCAGCAGCAGCACACTTTGTGCAGGGATACGCGATGATGCTGCTTTACAAAACCATGGTAATAAACGTGTAAGTCAGTGTAAGAGTTAGTTTCTGTAAATGGCTCAAAGCCACAGCGGGGTCTGGGAGCAGCCCTGGCTGCTGGCTGCCCGGAGCACGGCACAGGGAGGAGGCAGAGCTGTCTGCAGCCGTGCCGTGCCGTGCCGTGCCGCAGTTCTGCGGCACTGCAGCTCTGCTCCCGGCAGCCACTCCTCGGGCTTTATTGCTTTCACAAGTGGTCTCAAACCCACTACTTGAGAATAAACATCCCTGCGAGCTCGGCCGTGGCACTTTATAAATTCTCCTTTGCCGCGTTTTGTCACTGAGCTGATGAGTGACCTCGGCGCGGACCCCGCCGGACCGGAATAAAAACCGTGGCTCCTCTGATGTCCCCCAGACAATAATTATCATGTGCCAGTTAAGCCCAAACTACAGCTGAGGGATTTTACTTTAAAGCGGAGGCTCGGGCGCAAAAATGCATTTATAGCTCTTTGTCTGGCACCTCATTATGTGTGGGCCTGATTCATTAAGTAATTGGTTTGCAGTTGTTTACATGAGTATTAAGGCTTTCTATTCAGCAGCCTTTGAGATACACATTGTGCAAATGTTGCATGTTATGAATGCGGAATGAGGGGCCGGGGCCCGGCCCTATTGGCTAAACACTGCGCGCTGTTGAAAAGCAAGAGAAAGAGATTGGGTGCTGTTTTGCATAGCAATGACTTTCTTAATAAGCTTTACAGATTGATACACACAAGCTATAAAAGATGCAAAGAGATACTCTTAGCACATTTATCCATGCTCGTTTCACTATTATGGGCCTGGAGAAGGGAAGAATTGAGGGCTTTCATACTCGGGTTTTCAGTGCATGTCTTCAGTGCATGAGACTTAATAGAATCCGATGTTTATTGTATTATAAATCATGGGGAAGTAGGCAGATCTGCAACAGTTTATTATTAAAGATTCTTTCAATGTAAATCTTTTTCTGCCATTGTATTTCCTACAGCAAAATCATTTTGTGGTTGAGTGGGGATGAAAGGCATAATGTACGACGGAGTGAGTCTTAATAGGAAGCTGCTCTCCGAGTAAAGACCACTTGTTCCCTTTTGTTCAGCGGTGCATGCCAGAGCTTCCTCTTCTCCCACAAATGCCGCCTGCTCTACCTCCAGCAAGAAAACCACTTTTCCCTGGCTCCTTTACTTTCCCGGGGGAATATTTCTACACACAGAGATGCACCTCTGGGTGGGGTGCCAGGGTGCTGCAGCAGGCGACGGGGCGTTAAATGACACGGTCCTGGGGGGAGAAGGTATCAGAAGTCAGGGCTGAGGATGCTGGCGAGTGCAGGCGGGTGGGCAGCTATGTGTGTGGCATTCCGGGGGGCTGTAGCGATGGATGCAGCCAGTGGAGGTCACTCGCTTTCTGGGAATTCCCCATTTCGGATGCCGGCGTTTTATTTTTCTTTGACTTGTTTGCGCTGTCTCGTTTCCAAATAATCTGGAGATTAAAGGTGCGTTATCAGCTGAGAACCAAAGCCCGCTTCGGATTTGTCAGGACACCAACACGGCATAAAGTCTTTTAAACTTTAATTAATCTGCTGGAAGGACTCTGGGGGGGGGTCTCTGAAGGCTGGTTTTCAGCCCTGTTGCCCAACACAGCTGTAGTGACATGCAAATAGAAGTTGGCAGAGTCCAATTCATCTCTTAATCGTTCCTGGGCCCGTTGGCTTTGGCCATCGGGGGGCACTCGGGCTCTGTGCATGCCCCACTTCCCCCTTCCTGAACCAGTCCCAACACTGAAAACTGCTGTGCTCTGAGGAGACTTCCCAGAGCTTTGGGGCTGGCAGTGCTCAGGACGTGCACAAATGCATTTTCCTTGGAAATCCAGGAGAAGTGCCATTGTGTCGGTCTGGATTCCTGGGAGGTGCACCCAGAAACAAGGCAGGATCCGATGGTTTTATCCCCACAATGCACTCCCAGTTGTCCAATGGTTTCTGTATGAAGCCGACTGAAAATTCCAGGAGGATTGTCTGCTGTTCCAGCTGTTTGTGTGAGCTTTGTTTTCTCTGCCTGCATCCCCAGCTGTTGCAGAAGCAGTGCTGCTGGGGTGGCAGTGCCCTGCCAGGTGTGTGGGGAGAGGCACCAACATCTGCCAGCTGAGCACAGAGGAAACAGTGGATTTTTTGGCACTGCCCCTGCTCTCCTGCACAGCTTCCTTGCAGTGTTGTGATGCATCTTTGTGTCAGTGGGGGGTTTTTTTCTCCAGCGTGGTGAATCCAAACAGAGACCAGTCTTAGATGCAGCTCGACAGAAATCTTTGTATCCTAAAATAAGGGTCGTCCTACTCACAGTGTAATTACTGAAATTCAGTGTTATTACTCCAGCTCAGGCATGATGAATGGACTTTTGAGTTTATACTGCCTATGTGACACTGTGCAGAATATGTACTGTAGGTACTTGGTTTCCCAGGGTGGGAAAATTCCTCTGTTGGCATTTGGGATTTCCCAGATTTTTTGGGTGTCTTTTTCATTTGACACTAAAATGTAGAAGTTCAACAAGTGCTTTAGCAAGAAGACCCTCGGCCACAGTAAATGTTTCTGCTGTTTTCCAGCAAGCTCCCTTGATTACCTTGGCTCTTGTTGTCCTGGCATTTTCCTTGATGCCTCAGGTTTTAATTTTTATATTTTTCAGATTCTGTGCTGCTTTAGTGTGTACATCTGAGCTTCATATTAAGGGATAGTAAGCTCTCTTCACAGAGTAGGGAGACAACAATTCCTTCTCTAGTTCAGGACCAAGGACAAACAATCCAAATCTCAGGCCCAAGAGCACAAACAACAGCGGAATGAAGAGAGCAAAACAAGAAGGATGGGACTTCATAATCTAAAGCTATAACTGGACAATTAACTGCAATATATAAATGGACCAGAACTTATAAAAGTGAGGGACCTTGTGACTGGTCATCTATTTTTGTGACCATTTTGGGTTCGTCTTGGGTGTAGCCCTGGCTGGGCTCTTGTGCTGCCCAAGGTGTATCCATTGAGGCCTTTTAGTAAATACCTACTTTATTCTTTAACTCTGTCTACCCTCTGTTCTAGGTCAGCCTTCGCAAGGCATCATCCTCTTAATATTAATTTTCATTATAGAGGAAAAAATATTTTCTTGGAGCTTTTTCATTCCTTGCTGTTGCAGCATCTTCAATACAAAAAGCCTGTTTCATCAGAGAAATGGAGAGATTAAAAGGCTCTTTGAAGTGAAACTGGTTTGGGTTTTCTCTTTGTCAGAGCCTGGGTTCAGTTTGGAATTATTTTAGGGAAGAAGCAAATGTGTAAATGGGTATTGGAGGGTCACGACAGGGGATTAGTGAGGCGCTGGAACGGGCCTGGCTCCATTTACAGCCCGAAAACGTCTCGGCGGAGGTCTGTGCCATTGTGTGCTGCGGCCGCCGAGCGCAGCTGCTGCGCCGCGCCAAGGTGCTGCTGCATGGCTCAGCTCCACACACCTCACCCAGCATTCCTCCTGCAGCATTTCACAGGTTTGGGCTGCAGGAGCTGCTGTTCCCCCTCTGGCCTTTCTGTCCTCGCTCCATTTTCTGTTTCTGCCCAGCATTTCCCTGTGCTGGCAGCTCTCGTGCTGAGCCTTTGCTGCTGCCCTGTCCCCATCTCCCTTCTCTGTGCTTGGCTTTGGATCCAGGCTCTTTGGGGAGTGAACCCCATTCCACATCTGGTGGGTTAGCCCTGGGAAGATGAACCCCAGGGAACAGATGGTGTTCAGTAGAACACAAACATCTCTCTCCCTGCTCTCCTGACAGCTTTGATCTTTCTCTTCGTGGGAAGCTGGGGTGGCAGTGGGAAGGTCTCCAGATGTTTCTACAGTCATCGTGGTCCTTTCTGCATGGATCCTCAGCTGGATCTGGAAGACCAAGCCCTGGAGATGTGGGCAGTCCTCCCTGGTGATCCTCAGCACTGGACCCAAAGCACTGACCCGCTGGTGTTTGTTGTGGGGTTGAACCACGGAGAGAAGTGGGACAGAACTGAGAAAAACTCACTTGGCAAATGGCTTTTGTGAGAAGCTATCTGAAAATCCCAGGAGCCCCACGCTCCCTTCCCCGCAGCAGGCTGGCATGTGGCCAAGGGGAAGTGGCTGCTGCCCCCTGATCTTCTCCTCAGCTGCTTGAAATGGTTCCTGTGCCAGCATCCACAGGAGGAACCCACCAGCTACTGCTCACAACAAGTGGTTTCCTGCTCCATATCCCAGGGAAAACACTGCAGCCTCTTGAGCACATTTTCATGGGCTGAGCCTGGGATGCTTGGAGCACCTGCTGGGAAGTGCTGAGGACCAGGAGATCTGGCCAAAGGGAGCAGGAGCTCAGGGTGTTCAGCAGGATCAGCCCAGAGGCTCCGGCTTCAAATCCTCTCTGGGTATCCTGTCAAGTGAAGGCCTTTGAAGGAGAAGTGAGAGTATAAGGCTGTGTGGAGTTTTGTTTGGAATAAAAGGGAAAGCCGGTGGGATGGTGCACTAAAGGAATGTTGGAGAAACATTTGAAGCCAAACAGTTTAGAGTTTTTCACTGAATAAGGTCATTATGAATTACATCACTGTTAGTACTCTGCTAGAGCTGTCACTTGGTACTGGCACTTCTGCCTTGGGGAACCTTGGCTGTGTTTAATATTCTGGGAATTTCTGTCCGCAAAGCAGGAGCCTTTGGAGAGGAAATGAGATTTAAACAGTGGGAGTTTTCTCTGGGTTAAAAGGAAGAGTGGCTGCACCACTGGTAGCTGCAATGTGTGAAACTTTACATGTGCCTTTCCAGCTGCAATCCCAAATTCTGACTGAATACTGAGGGAATCACACAAGGAATCATCTTTGCTTTTTTTTGTCTCCTTCACAAATGCCTCCACAATAGTGGAATATTTGCAGCTCCCCGCTTTAAGCACTTCTGTACTGGCTGCTACATTTTTAAATGAAACACAGCAAATCACAGACATTTCAGAGGGTCCTGTTGTGACTGAGGCCACAGCTTCAAACTGCACCTTGACATTGCCTAATATTTCACTGATTGGCCCAGTGATATCCCAAATATCTCCTATTTGATCTTCCTTATTAAAATCAGCTGAAGCTTTATTTTTGGAGCTTCTTGCAGGACTGCTGCTGTAACAGTTAATTCTCCCCCATGTTTGCCCCCGTGTGATTATTCCCCAGCCCCAACACAATGCACGCGCTGCACACAAAAGATCAAAATGATTCCAGCTTGTTTGAGAGATTCAAAAGGGCCTGTGATGCTCCAGACACAAGAGCAGCCATTTAGCAGAGCAGGCTCGGGCTGCACACACATCAAGGTAGATCAAAGGCAGTGGAGATTGCACATTGCCATGGGGCTGGGGGACAGCACCGGGACCCAGAGGAGCACACAGGGAGGAAGTGCAGGGAGCAGCACTGGGGGGGATTTGGTTTTGTTTGGATTTTGTCTTTCAGTACTTTGTGTGCTCTGAAAGGTGGGAGCAGCTTGGCAGGGCCCTGCTCCTCTGTACCTTAACTCAGTTCTGTTACCAGGGAATGACGCCAGGAAAAGCTGGACCAGTGTCCCTCCTGCACAACCTTTTAAGTGAAGAAGTCCGTGATTGAATAGCTATTGAAAAAAAATAGTTACAGAAGTTACTGGGTTGTTGTTTTTTTAAATGATTTCACAGTATGTTTTAAAAAGGCATTTATGTTTTTTTAATTGGAGACATGCTGATTGTTTGAAATGTTTTACAGGACTGAACTGCGGAAGGAAACAGTAACTGCTATAAAATCCAAAGGTAAGAGACAAATGTTACACTACTTAAAATTAGTGTCTTTCTAGTTAAACTTATACTGTAGAAATTTTTACTGTTCCCTCCCAGAACAACGTTATGACCTGTATAAGGTAGAGAGAAGGGGAAGCATGGAATTTCCGTGTCTCCTGTGGGAGCCAGCAGGGAGCTGAGGAGGACAAATCCAGGGCAGAGAGGAGGTGTTTGTGAGGGGTGGTGTGGAATGAGTTGGGATCTTTGCAGGGTTTAATCAAACGCCAGTTAACAGCAGGTGGAGGGAGCCTGGAGAAGGAGAAACCTGGGGGTTCCTTGGTCCTCCCTGTGACCTGGGTGGGTGCAGCAGGAAGGTTTTGTGTGTGGCCAGGCTGCTTTTATTCTGAATTGGTGTCTGGACCCTGTGTGTTTTTGCTGCGCACACATTCCAGTTCCCCCTTTACCCCCTGCAAGGCCCTCCAGGGCCTTCTGCCAGCAGGGCAGCGCTGGGAGCCAGGATCTCTGTGCCTGGAGCCCTGCTCTGGGTGCTGGCCATCCAGAATGGTTTTAGAGGTGTGGCAGTGAACTGAGGTACAGATGCCATCAGGGACAGCTGCTTTGGTGGCACTTGAAAGGCTCTGGCGTGCCTGGCCCCTTTCCTGTCTTGGAGCCGTTCAGCATGGCAGCTAGCACAGGGCTGGCTCTGATGTTCCCAGCAGAGAACAGCCCAGGGGGCCGGGGATGGAGGATGAAAGATGCAGATGCTGCATTTGTAGATAAGGTGTTCACGGAGCTGGTGCCATCAGAGGCACCAAAGTGCCTGAAAGACAAGCTGCAGTGTCTGTGTGAATGTGACAGCCTTCCTCCTCCCACTGTCCCTGGCCAAGCCCTGAGCCTCATTCTGGCTGCCTTTGGACAGCCAGCAGCCTCTGGATTAGGTGGGAACAGAGAGCACGCCTCTGTCAGCCTCTGCAGCCCTGACTTCATGTGCCACACTTCCCACTCTGTCCTATCCATGGGTCAAAAGAATTCACATCTCCAGAAATCTCTCAGGCTCTGAAAACTGCCATGGGATTCTGCTGCTGTCAGTGAAAGGGTTTGCTGATTCCCAGAGCCTAAGGTCAAAGCCATGTGCTCCACTGAGGTCAGGCCTGCCTGGATCTGCTCTGATCTCCAAGTGGTGATTTTTCATTGGTGATGTCATTGCCATTTTTGTGCCAACTCTGTGATGTCATGGCCCGCTGGTGACTTCATCTCAGGGTCAAGTAGTGGGGAGAAAGGGGAAGAGAATAGACAAAGCTGCAATTCAGGCAGCAGCTGGTCAAGTAAATTGCTTGGAGTGGAAATGTTCTGCCCAGCTACCTTGTGGCACAATGGAGTGGGAGCGCTGAATGAGGCCGCTGTCCAGCACAGCCGCTCCTCTGCCAGAGCCTGCCCCAGCCACGCACACCTGGGGCTGGGGCTCCTGGGGACACCTGCCCCTGCTCCTGGCTGTGGCAAGTGGCACGGCCACAGAAAAGGTTTTACACCTCTGCTTTCCTTCTTCTCACCCGCAGCGTTCTGGGGTGAATCTGAGGACAGCAGCTCCGAGCTCGAGGCTGCTCTGCGCCCACAGACCCACGGCACGGAGTCAGACGACTTTGATGACTTCTATGACTGAGATTCTCCCACTGGCTTTTGGGAAGAAACAAACTGTGTTTTCTTTCACACAGTGAGTGTGCCACAGGCTGAAGCACTGCCTGTCACTGAATTGGCAAAGAAAATTTAAATACTAAATAAACATAATAGGTCCTGTATGTTGTCTGTGTGCTCTCTCTGACCTGCAGTGTTTTCCTGCTCTGATGAGATCCCTGCCCCGTAACAATCCCCTCCCAAGGCTTGTGGCATCCCAATATTGGGACTCCAGCGCCAGACAGGGTTTGGGAAGAAGCAGACAAGCATTGTGGGTATGCAGACAGGCGCTGCTGGGGTGGGCTGGCATGTTTGATCTTTATCTTCTTCTGCAACAGATCAAGAAGAAGAAATGCATAAAATGTCCATTTGTAATTCAGCACATTTTGGAACAGAGCAGCATTTACATGTGGCAAGCCCCAGTGCTTTCCTGCTTTTCCCTGCTTTGTGAAATCCGTGCTGGCGTTGTTGTGTGGACATCACAGTAATTGGATGACTCCAGGAGCTTCATGCATTTTTAATTTTCTTCTTTTCATTCCTTTTATCTAAAATTAAGTTCATTAAACATGAGATTTTCTTTGGGAGGAAGAAACCAGAGGACATGTTAAAGCTGTTCATAAATGATGACAGGTTCAAAAGCAGAAAGCAGCACCCCAATTAAGCTGTGCTGTGCTGCAGCCCCACATCTCCCAACACAGGCACCAATCTCTGCACCCCATCCCTCAAAACCCGTCTAGAAATGAGAACAACATTCAGTTTAATAAGAGGAATGTGTAGGCTGAGAGCTCAACAGCACAAAATTACTTGCAGAAGGCTTGGAACTGAGCAGGAGCCCTTGGCACAGCTGGCTGCTGTGGGTTTCAGTCTGCCATCAGTGAAGGTGCAGCCTGGAATGTTCTGGGAACTGGGAAATCTGCTGCACCAAGGATGGAGCTGGGCGAGTCTGTGACCAGGGCTGACATCCTGGGAGGCTGCTGGGCTTGACTAAAGGACTGCAGCAACTGACAGAACCAGAGGACACAGCCGTGCCAAGGGAAATATAGGTTGGATATTAGGAAAAGGTTTTTTATGGAAAGAGTGATAAAGTACTGGAATTGTCTGCCTGAGGAGGTGATGGAGCCACCATCCATGGACCTGTTTAAAAAAAGACTGGATATGGCACTCGGTGCCATGGTTGAAGTGTTAGGGTATGGGTTGGACTTGATGATCTCAAAGGTCTTTTCCAACCTAGTGATTCTGTGACTAAAGCCAGACTTTACTGAGGGCTTTAATGTCCTTTTTACCACACCAACTCTCCATGTCCTGTGAGACTGCTGCTGGCATGTTGCTCAAGGCCTGGGAGGAGCGTGGAGAGGAGGAGCAGCCCCACTGGAAAAATCCAGCAGCTTGCACTGCCAAGGGACGTTGTCTCAGCAGTGCAGCGTCTCTGCAGCTCTGAGCTCCTCCTGAGTGACTCCGGGCTGCTGTCAGCCCACTTTGTGTCTGCTGCATGACACCAATCCGTGGGGCTTTCCACCGCCACAGTCCAGCTCAGCCCTGACAGTGGCCCGTGACAGGTGACAGATGGCTGCAGAGCCACATGCAGGCAATCTCTGCCTCTTGGTGCCGGAGCGATAGCCGGGTTCCTCCGCAGCGTTATTTATGATACTCTTTTTGTGCACAGACTCATTAGATGCACAACATCCTGCCAGTCAACTTCCCCGTGCTCCTTCACAGCTGTCAGCAGCCTGGCCCTGGTGGCAGGTGACGCTGACGGACAGGGGGACTGGAATCAATACACCCCGAGCAGATTCCCATCGGCACGCCACTCATCCGAGGGAAGTGCCCGAGCGGGAAGCGTTCCCTGCTCCTGCCCAGGGTGCGCCGCTCTGCGCTGCGCTCATGGATGTGCAGTCGGCAGGTGAGCTGCTGGTGCTCAGACCAACTTTTCAAGGAACTGTCTGCTGCACTATTAATTTTTCCAGCACTTGTTTACCCAAGCAATTATAAGATAAGATGATTGCCTTTCATTTGCGTCTGCCAGCCTTCTGTTTTCTTCGTCATTATCAGAAAAACAACTGATTGCCCATCAATACAAACAAAATGTTCATGCTAAGCTGCCGTGCTCCCTACAAAATTCTGGGAGGAGAGGCACTACAATAGGAAGCTTCAATCAGGGAACATTTTGTAAGGAACAGATAAAGGACAATCTTCAGCTGATACCACAGGTGTGGTGCCACTACAAAGTTGCAGGGGAAATTTATTCAAGTCACAGATTTTATTGAGAAGAACGACAACAGAAAACGGCTTAACAACAGCCAAGCGAGGATAAGAATAATGAGAGACACAATATTGGGTTAATTTATTCTACAGCAAATTAGGCAGGTACCAAGTTTCCCCTCTGCTCCCCAAATCGGCGGCGTTGACTCAGCAAGCACTGCTGAGATTTTGTTATTTTTGTTAATGACTCCAGGCTGCTGTTCCCTGTCCTCGGCCCTCTGGCTGCCCTGCTAACGGAGCTGATGTGCGGCAACGGGACACGGCGGAGCAAAACCCGCCTTGTGCTAATCCCGTTTAATTCCCAACCGTTTAATTCCATTTTGGTGCCGTCAAACGGTAATAAATTAACAGTATTTGCTTATGCCATGGGCAGAGCAAGGGGACGGCGGCTCTTTGCCTCGTGTTGGTCTCAGGAATCACGTGGAGCCGTTTCCTACTGAGGGAAATGTCACCTCAGAGGGCACAGAGCAGCCGTGCCCTGAATCGCTCCTGTTTTTGCCAAACGTGGGATAAGTCAAAATTGTCTGAAGTCGGGATGCTCTTTCATCATTAATTTCATATATTCTTTGTATACTTTCATGCAGAGACCTAATTAGTGCATCCCTTCCTCAAGGACACCCTGGAACCACCAAGCTTTAAGGATGTAGTAAATCCAGATATTGATGCCTATGTGAGCATTCCTAACTTGGCAAAACATCCAAATTCCATGTATCCTATAGCCGAATGAACCGTATTTATTGTAACAAACTCACACCTACAGGTCAAAAAGAGGTGCAGGCCCTTCCCCCGAGTACGTGGAAGAATTGTGTAACTCATGTGGAAATTACTGATCAATCCTAAAGGAGGGGCTGTGCTGGGGAAGTTGCCAACTCTGGATTTCTGAGTATAAGTAAAAGTGGTTGTGCTGGATTTAGGGAATATATTGAGCATGCAGTGCTGAAATAAATCATTGATGTCTCTCTTAATTATTGACTTGCTGGGCAACACCGCTGTGTGTGTGCAGCTTAAAGCACCCCACAGCAGCACCCCATGCTTTTTAACAAGGTGCTAAGGGAGGGTGAGAGGGCGATTCTCCTGTTAAACTGCTCGTTTATGGCCTTTTTTGAGGAGAAGTCACACTGTACATCTTGGCTGAGCGTGAGGGCAGCAATGGGGCTGTCTCAGGAGCCAGGCTTCACTTTTCCTCCTGGAAATCACTTTCGAACCCTCTGGCTTTGCTTTCCCCCTCCGAGTGTCCTGAGTAAGGAGCTGCCCAGACACGTTTCATGGGCCGCTGTCCCCTCACGCTCCTGCCTCCCCTCACGCCGCCATTGCGGGGCCCTCAGCCCGCACCCAAGATGGCGGCGGCGGCACCTCCCACACGGCCCCGCTCCTTCCCTTCTTCCCTCCCTTCTTCCCTCCCTTCCTCCTTCCCTCCCTCTTTTCCCGGCGTTCCCGGCGCCGCCCCCCGACCCCGGAAGTGCCGGCGGCGCGGCGGGTCCCGCTCGGCGCTGCCCGTCCGCTCCCGCCATGGGAGTCCCGGCCTTCTTCCGCTGGCTCAGCCGCAAGTACCCCTCCATCATCGTCAACTGCGTCGAGGAGAAGGTGAGCCGGCCGCCCGGCACGCCACGGGCCCGCGGGGCAGCGGGGCCGCGCCGCCGCTGAGCCCCCGGTGCTGCCCCGGGGCCTGCCCAGGGCGGGTCGGTGTTGGGGCTTTGTGTGGGTTTAGTCCGGGTGTTGTTTAGGATTGCGGGAGGTTTGGGGTTTTTGGAGGTTTTTCCCGGGTTTTGGAGTTTTTTCCCGGTTTTTAGTCCCGGTGGAAGCGGGGAGGAGCTGTCCCGGCTCGGTGCCGCTGGAGCCTCCCGGGGGAACGGGCACGTGCGGGGCTCCGGGGCCGGGATTCCGCCTTCTCCCCCGCTTTCCCCTTCTCCGGCCGCTCCGCTGGAATTCCTGCCCTTCCCGACGGAGCCCGCGGCTCTGCCCCCGTGCGACTTCCACCCGGAAAAGTGGGATTTGAGGCGCTGGTGAAATTCCAGTAGGGAGCAGTGGGAGTGCTTTTTGCCATGTTTTTCACAATCCCTGCTTGTCCACAACTTTTTTTGGGGCGGGAATTAGAAGCCGGAGCTTCGGGACTTGCTGGAAGCACGAGTGCAGCTGCCTGGCCAAAACTTAGCCCAAGCCTGTGCTTGTGCTCCAGCCTTGAGCAGCCTCAGGGGGTTTTGTCTCATTGCTGGTGTTTTCTAGTTCGGGATAAACATCTCCTGGCCACACAGGGAGCTGATTATTCCAAAGACATCCTCTAAAACCTGGCTTTCCATGGCAGGAGGTTTCAGTGAAGGCTCTGACACAGGATTCCTCAGGCAGTATTGCAGCTGAAATGATGTTTGTTTACGTGTTTTTTTGGGCTGGCTCCTTCAGGCACATCCCTGCAGCCACGAGGGTGTTGTGCCATCCTGTGGGACACGTGGCAGGGGACAGGGTGGTCTCCTTTCAGTGCCACCGTGGTGGATTTACTGAGTGTGGCAAGTTCTCCTCCTCAGGGCTAATTCGAGCCTTTCTGAGCAGTCAAACTCTGGAGTTCTTGCTTTCCAAACTGCTTTTCCCATAGGCTTTTCCAAATAATTTGTGTTCTGTTTTGTTGGATTGTACTGGATGCATTCTGCTGGTTTGGAAAGTTCAGGGCATGTGCTGGGGCTTCTGCCTTTCTGCTCCTCCTCCCAAGCTGTGCTGACCTTGGGGAAACACCTGGAAAGGAATAAAGTGTGGGAGCACGGTGGAGGAGATCAGGGAAAAGGGGGTGAAGTGGTGGAATTCCGTGTTGAGGCTGCACTCGTGCCCTGCCTGCAGCAGGGTGTTCAGCTCTGTGCTTCTCCAGGGTG